CCTGAACTCTGTGGTTGGGCTCTGCGGCCCGGCTTTGTGTCCGGGCTGAACTCTGTGGCTGGGCTCTGTGGCCAGGTCTTGTCCTCCTCTTGTCCTGCTGTTGTCCTTCTCTTGTCCTGCTGTGGTCCTCTGGCCGCGCTGACCAGCCCTGGCCGCACTGACTGGCCGCACCCCTGAACTCTGTGGCCAAGTGTTTAGAATGCTGAGGGACGTCCAATGGGATGTCCGCGAAAGAAGTGGGCTTGGGTAGGGGCTCGTCTCATACTGTTGATAGATGGGGCGTCCGAGAATGTGCCCGTGAGACGCATTGGACATTGTCAATGTGCCCGTGAGACGCATTGGACATTGTCACTTTTTCATGAATATGGTCAACAGCTGGAGAGGAGTGTGGCCGAACAACTAGCGATGTCGATGCCGACAAACATCATTGATGAAGAAGTTTGCCCTTGGGGGGAATGTAGGGCGTACCAAGATATCGTTTTTGACTAATATTGGTCCAAGCGAATCGTTCTGAAACTGTTTGGGGTCTATGCTGGTATAATGAAAAGAACATGCCACAAGTCTACATTCAGATTTCCCTGCAAAAGGTGCACCTATGGAACAAGAAACTACTAGGGCTCCTGGCATCGCTACTAGGAGCCAGGACGCTACTAGGCACCTCAAAACGTCACTGGTTTCGTTCAATCCTCAGCGTCGCTGAGGAAGATGCCGCCGAAGCTTCTGCAAGGCTTGCGCACAGCAGGGTTCCAAGAGTCGGGGCCTTGGACACAAACGCTCCGTTTGGATGTGCGGCATCGAAGACCTATGTGGTTGTTGGCCTCCAAAAAGCTTCTCAGGCGATCCTACACCAAAAAAACCAGGTACATGCATCATTGCAGAACAACCAGCCTGGCTTCTGCGAAGAGATTTTTGCCTCGATTTAGTTCTACCCTTTCATAAGAACCACATTGCTACGATGCAGGAACTATTTTTTGGGGGGCAATCTGCAGAACACCCCACAACCAAAGCGTGCAGGAATACAGGGCTTGAAGGCACTAAGGTTTGTCAACTGCAGCCTCCCGTAGTGATGTAATTAGGTTTTGGAGGGGCCAGTAGCTTGTGCAAAACACAAAGCCGTGCTTCAAAGTAAGCTAGTATGGTGGGCGAATAAATTGTAATCCGATTGTTGAGGGATCACTCTCCCCGTGCCACTGCCACTTTTTTTCTGGGATTCTTAGTGATGCCAGCACCGGTGACGCACAACCTGAGGCCCACACCAATCCAGGCACAGGTCTGGCCGATCGCCTCAGGCGGCGTTGACCTCATTGGCATCGTTGCTTGGCAGTCGTGACCCCCGTGTTCTGCGCTGCGAAAGGTGAGGCGATCGTATATAACTGATGTGTCCTTTTTGGGGTCGAGACTCTTTTGACCCAAGACATGTGCTGGTGGGTGAACTCCTCAGCGGGGAATTGTAGCCTTTGACACGACCAGGGCTCCTACAAGTGGTTATTGCTTTTCCTCGGTCATGGGCATTGGGTGTGCCTGTTCTTCGCGCAGCTTAACAAAGCCTACGGCCAAAAGATCCGGCTGAGGCCCGCACTGGCTCTGGGAAGACCTTGGCCTTTCTCTATCCAGCCAGCTGGCAGGGTGGACCAATGGCTGGGGAGGATGGGAACACAGTGTCCGGGGAAGATCAGGGACACTTGTACTCCTACCAACCTTGATGCAACCAGCGGCGACTCCAGCACCACAGTTGCCGAGGCCTACCTCTGGATGCAGCAGCGGCGGGCTGGGGTGCAGTCACTGGTGCTGGCCCCTACAAGGGAACTAGCAACTCAGATCCTTGGCCAAGTGCACTGGCGTGCATGGACCATTTAGAGACCAGCTGTGCTCTTGAAACATTGCCTTCCAGAGAGGCATTGTCCCTCAGGGTTGGTCAAGTCGAGAGGTAGCAGTTCATGGTGAGGGTGGAGTTCAAGCTTGAGAGCCAACGTTGTGAACGGATTCGAGCAGGGAAGATGGCTGAAACAAAAACCTATGCAGTTGGATGATGGGACCGATGAGCTGACTCACTTTCTTCATTTTTCTTCTCTGTGCTTCCGTCCTTCCACCACTCTTGGGCTCGGGTCAGTCACTTCAGGATCCACGAAGAGGCCACGAAGTTCTCAGCAGCATCGGGGTTTAGCAGTGCGTGTGCTACTTGACATCAGCTCGCGGGATGCGGCATGATGCGGGGTCGGGTGATTTCGATAATTGTATTACTGTACATGAATATCCCCCCGTACATAGACCCATGCAGCATGCATATATAGAATATAATCGATGGTTGTTGGAAGAAGGGCAAGGCAGTTTGCACCACTTATCTTGACTGCGCGTCGTTCATGCCTCATCACCACGCTTGCTTGTCTCCATCACTGTGGCACCCCTGGCTGTGAAAGACGCACCCACACATATAATGTTCCTATTTGTGAAGCGCCCATCTAGTTCCATGACTCTACTTTTGCATTTTCTGGGGGTGACCCTTGGAAATGAGTTGTGTTTTGGGAGAAAGGTAGGGCACAACATTCTGGAAGAATGTAACTTTTAATTCGTAAGGGTCTGCTGGCCTCGTGGTGTGGGGGCCAAAATGATCCCAAGTGTAGCTTATGTTTGTACATATTTAGTTTCAATTTTTAATCTACATGTGTTGTGTAGAGAAAACGAGAAATACGATTGCACTTTTGGATTTAGCTGTATAACTTACGTTTTCTGGAGGCACCCCCCGTGCCAAGATGGCAGGGAGGATCATCCAAATCCGTCCGCGTCGAATCTCCCCGAGCGAGGTCTACGGCGGCGTCCCGAAGAAGGAGCAGCTGCCGGCGCTGCAACGCGGCTCACCCATCTTGGTGGCCACCCCCGGACGGCTGAACGACTTCCTTGAGCTGCTGGGACGGTCAGATAGTGTAGGAACAACGGAGAACAACAGGGCCAACAGCTAGCCGCTACAGTTGATATGTGCCAATATTTTTTTCAGAAAGCCTAGTTTTGGGTTGGTTCTTTCCAGGTGGACCTTCGTTTCAAAACAGCACACGTTTTCTCACTGCCTTGTAAATGGAGATGGCCCTGGCCTTGGCCAAAAACTCGTCGTGGAAAGTGAGCTGGAAGCTTCCTTCTCGAAAAGGATTGCTCAGGATTTTCTGGGGAGCATGCAGGTTTCGTGGCACCTCGTGTCAATTCCCTGGGTCTCTGCACTTCTCGAGTCTCGGAGTGACCTTTTGAGGTTCCGGCAGGTCACCCTCTCCTCCGTGGGCTATTTGGTCTTCGACGAGGCAGACCGCATGCTGGACATGGGCGGCCCGGCCTGGGGATGGGGGCCGATGTGGTCAAAGGATCGGGTGAGCGATGCACAGGCGGCTGTATTGAATTGTGTTTGACGCAGGCAGAAGACACGACTACAATCTTTTGATTATCGATTTTTCTGCCTGGTCTCCAGGGCAAGGCCAAATTCAGCAAGAGGCCGTTTGATGGTGATGAACTCCTGCACAAACCTTTAACAGGGCAAGCCTAATGGTGATCAAGATCCTGCGCATGCGCGGCCACATCCGACACCTCTCGGTGGACATTGCCAAGTTTTGTAGCTCACTTCGGGAGGTCACCGAGTCGCTTCGCCCGGACTCCAGATCTCTTCCTTTTGCTCGTTGCTTCGCATCTCTCGCACTTCTCAAAGGAAAGGGATCGTTCCTCTTGCGCCCCTTCTACCTCGTCCATTATTTGGACCACGCACGCACCACGTGGTTGGCGAAACTGACTGAGGTTTCGAGCCCCAGATCCGCGAGATCGTGCCGCTGGGGCAGACCGCCGGATCATCGGGTAGTAGCGTCCATTGGTGCAACAGGTCACACGCAGTTTTGATGTTCCGCGCTTTTTCTGGGGGGCCGGGCCCGGTGCCGCCTGGCAGAAACAGATTGGAGCACCTCGCTGTCCCGCACGAACTTGTTCTTCCCGAAGCTCAAGCTCCCAACCAATTCATGGTAGGTGGACATCGCTCGTCTTGCGCTGTCCTGCGCTAGATTCAGTTTTGCAGACTCCCCAGGTTGCCAGGATGGCGGATAGCCAGTCCCCATGACCAAAGCGCTCTTTTTCCACTAGTCACTAGGATCAGCAGTTCCCTTTCTGGTTGAGCTGTTGGCAATGACTTATTGGGGTGTGTTCCCTCCATAATATATTTTCAAAGGTGTTTGAAGATGTTGGATTTTTGGGAAGTTGGAAGTAAGCACTGCCACGTGGTAGGATGACGGACTTATTCCTCTGCAGGATTCCAGCGATTCAATGCATATATTCCCACCCCCGACAGCCATGGAAACATCTCAAGCTAGGCAGAGCATCGAGATACCTGGTTCTTCCCTTCGGACCTTCTCCCGCGACAAGGGCGTTCTCTCAGGCGACAGGTGCCTAAGCGGCGGCAGACGCTGATGTTCAGCGCCACATGGCCGGAGGAAGTTCAAACCTTGGCGCACGACTTCCTGAAGGACCGCCCTGTCCGGTCGCTGCGGTCTGGGAAGGGTCTCAATAGGGTGGCGAGAAAGGAGGGGTGTGTGTGTGTGTGTGTTTGTTTGCTGGGCCAGCCCAGCTTCCTAAGTTGTTTCTTTGAATTCTTTTGCCTTTGGCGGCTTCGCATGTTGTCCAGGGTGATAGCAGGAGAACAATTACTTACTGCAGGCTCGTCGGTCATTTGAACAGCCCTTTCCTGCCGGTTTCTGCGACCTGGGCATGGCTGGCAGGAGCATGCCTCTACAATAATTTGATGTGTTTGATAAGGGTGAATGGTTCTTTCTCTGTGCTGCCAGGTGACTAGAGGGCCGGGGTGTTCGAAATTCCTTAGATAATGCTACCACTCCCAAACCTGGAAGCGATGCTATGGAGCGCTTAGTCATGTAAAGACATTGTGCAGAGATCCCAACGGCTTTGGTGTTGGAGGGCTTCCGGATTGTTCGTTTTGGAGTCAAGGCCGCTTTGGCACGGTCCGCGCATGACTGTTTGCTCTCAAGACGGCGTTAGACGGCTCAAGGCGCACCAAGAGGCAGCCATGCAGTGGGTGCCTCATGCGCAGGTCCCATCCGTGGCAATTCCGTCTCACCCGGCCCATGCGCCAGTCTATCAACAGGTGATCCGATCTCCAAGCCCTGACGCCCGGCTGAAGCTGGCACCCCAGTCGCCGCACCTGGCCGGAACGGCCTCACCGCATGCGGTGCATGCGGTGCCTGCTCCCTTGCATATGGTGCGGGTGCCTATGGCCACTGGGCATGCACACTAGGCCGCTTAGGGATTGATATATCATGTCCATGGACATTGCATCCATTTGGGCACAACACGCATTGACCTGAGGATGCTCCGAGTTTCACACGGCGGTCTGGTTCTGAAATGTTCTGAAGAGGTCAGTTGTTTGTTCAATTTCCAAGGCCCTGTCGCCGACCCAGAAGCACTTTCCGGCCAATGTCTACCCAGCTCACATGCAGCTCCAGGCATGCGATCCATTTAATCTGGTCCACCTATTAAAAAAAAACACGCCCCCCCCTAATAAGGAAACCTCGGTCGCATTTTTTTAAATAGGGGGTCCCTGAAATCGGGGGGTCCAAAATAGGGTCACCTGGGAAGAGCTTCAAAACCAAAAAGTAACCCAGGAAAATTTTATATAACATCCTTTATTGTCCTTTATTAAACTCGTATCAAAAAATCAAAAAATTCAAAAACCTCCAGATCAAAGGGTCTTCCTTTTCCCCTACAAAAACCTTCATTAGAATTGTGATTCTTCAGTAGACTACAGCTAAAGCTGTCGAACGGTGATGTCGCTGTGCCATGCGGTGTTGCATGACCTCGGTGGCAAGTGCGTTTGCGTGAGTCCGTGCCATTGGGGGAAGGAAAGCCTGCTGGTGTAAGCGCGGCGTGTCATGGTGGATAGACAGGGCGGACAGAGGTGGGCAGTTACGGTTGTTTTTGGAACCTTAAAAAAAACCCCTCCAAAATCGGCAATGTTGGTAGTTCAGCAGCGGATTGAAAGGGCGGTGTATAACTTAAAAGCGAATATAAGCCGTATTTAGGGGTTTCCGACATGATTTGTTTAATTAGGGGTCCGTTTTTAAATAGGTACTCGGGATTATTGTTGTTTGTTCCCTCTCACAGTTGGACATGTATTCGAAGAGGCCACTCAGCTTCTCCCTGTGTGCCTTTTTGGGGGGGGAGCTCCTGCGTATACCTTACAAACGTTTGCTTTAGTTCCATGGTGAGATTGCACTCGGTTCCTTTGCTTGCGCTGCCCGGACATTCGGCTTCACATGGACCATGGTTTCTTTAAAGCCAACTGTCCCCGACTGCCCCCCAACACCCACTTGAAGTGAATGGTCGCGGGAAGCCTTTAGACAAGACGCGTGGGGAATCGCCCCACCAACCCTGCCGAAGGCCGGTAGCAGCTCGCCGGCGCCCCCCGCGCCGGTGCTCCTGCGCGGGGGGCCGGGCGCGGCCGACGGGACGACCGCGCCGGCGTGGAAGGAGATGCAGCAGCGGTGGCTCGGAGAGGGAGCGGTGATGAGGTGCAAGTGGTGAGCTGTGGGTTAGCCAGCATGGAAGTATACAGAAAAGCTTTCCTTTTTCTATTTTTTTGGCTGATGCCAAGGTGACCAGCAACAACCGAGCAAGGTTTTACACAACCCGTTCAAACATCGTGCTTATTGGCTAGTGGACATGCAGCTTCCAAGCGTCCCGGCGGAAAAGTTCCAAGCACAGAGATGAATTGCCGCACGCATGAATCTACAGTGTCTACAGTAAGTTTCTTAGAACAACGGTTAATATAGTCATACGCAGATCATTATGCGCAGATCATTGAACGCCCGGTGGGGAAAAGACAGAAACAAGATGACACCAGAATCTGCCCGGATGCGTCCTGATGGAAACTGCCCCAATTTCTTCGCCCAGGCTGGGCTACTCCTCCTCCGAGCGTCCACTGAACGAACGTGCCCAACTTCCGCTGGGGGCGCTGCAGTCGCCCAAGGGCAGCGCATCCCCGGCGCCCGGTTCGCCGCTGCCAGGCCGGAAGGGCGTTGGATGGGAGCATGGGGTGGATGTTAGGGAGCCAGGGAAAAAGCTCCTAGTAGCTTCTTGTTCCTAGTAGTAGGGCCAGGAGCCCCTAGTAAAGCTTCTTGCTCCTAGTAGTGTCCTTCGGTGGATTCTTTTTTAATTTTGGATGACCACAGGCCAAAGGCGACTCTTGGGGTGATTTCCACGTCCATGAGGGTCCTTCAAGAATGCTGAGGCCCTGAAGACATGAGCCGTTTGATTGGGAGAGTGTGTGTTCTAAGACATCCAGTTTAAGTTCAGTTCGAGAATTGAGACATTGCATATTAGCATATATTAGCATATTTCGGAAATGTCTAAGAAGACTCAGGCGCTTTCCACAACAGCCTTGTAGTACCTTTGCTCATGGACAGCAAGGATAGAAGGCTCAAACTGTTTTGTTCGTCCTTCTAGTTCTGAACTTATTTTTTTGCACCTTGAATGCCGGAGAAGGAACAGCTTGCGAAGTCGGTAGGTCTGGCCCTTGCAACCGGCTAGGCTCTCCTTTTCCAGGATCGCCCTTGCCCGGCTCTCCAGTACCAGGGTCTCCAGTGCCGGGATCACCTGTGCCAGGACGGGGTACAGCGTTGAACCGCGCGACACACCCACCATCTGGGTGTCAAACGGCCGCATGAACAGCTCACCTCTCCAGAACATACATGTTACATGTGCCAAAATGGACAGTTTGGGTCACACATCGAGGCCAGTTGGAAGGATCAGTTGAGTCTCAGTCTTTGAGGTCTGATGCGGACCACCCATGGTTAGGTCGATCGCCCCTCCCTCAGAGTCGAAATCGAGAGAAAGGATCGCCCCTGATTCGGCCTGCGGTGCCGATGGAAATCAAGGGCAGAGAGGAACGAGCTACTGGACAGGAACTGGGAGGAAAAGGGGGTGAGAGAGAGAGAGATGCTTTTCTTGGATCTGATCAATGTCCAAAGTGCCTTGCAAACAGTAACGTGCTAGTTGGCAATTTGAGTTTTCTTTTAAGTACGGCTAGGTCATGGATCACTCCATTTGGAATTGTCATCAGGTTTGCCTAATTTTTCTTTTGCTGCTGGCTTTGTGCCGCGCTGATTGTGGACAATTCTAGGATATTCTTGATACTTTGAAAGGAAGGGAGGCATGCCCGTTTGTTCATTTCCTCAACATTAGGGATTTTGTTCTGCAGTGATGGATATGGGGAAGCCATGTCCCTTCATTGTCTTAACTATAGCAGCATCCCTGAAGGTCATCACAAACAGAAAAGAGTTTAACTCCCCAACGCCCGTCCTTTGGCTTCGTTGTGGCTGCAAGACTGCTAGAGAAAAAGGACCGAATCGCTCAGGTGGGCAGCGCAGATGCGACCAAGCAGACCTTTCCAGGTCCGCACCTGTTCAGTGTCACAGCCTGGCCCGGCCGATCCCGAACACTATATACTAGGAACAAGGGCATCGCTACTAGGGGCTCCTAGCATCGCTAGTTTGGCACCCGTGCTCCGGGCCAAAGACACCAGCAGAATCAGTGGTGATTCGTTGCTCGTTGGCTTCTTTGGAGACTTTGGGTGTGGAAGATGTCTGGCACGGCGGATCGGAAGTCCAAAGTCCTTCATAGGGGAGCAGCAAGAAGATCAGGAGGGAAGGTTGACATTGGGCTTCCCCGATTGGGAAACCACCTGGGACTTGTGTATTTTCTGTCCGAAGGGCCTGCCTTCGCCCCAGGTGCTGGAGGTTCTCAGAGGTGTCCAACGCCACCTGTACCCGAGACGACGCCAGCGGAGCTGCCTTGGACGCGGCTGGCCTCTGACTGCTTGGGCGAGGAGGCCATCGTGCGAGACAGTCCCAGCCTGGAGAAGAAGGTGGAGAGGACTGGAGATCAACCGGGAGATTGAGGGGACTGGGTGAAGCAGTTGGACGAATTTTCAATGGATCTTGATCTGAGATTAAGACTTGTATGCTTGTGGACATCGTTGGCAACCAATGCAGGATGCGTGGAAAACTTTGGGCTTCTTGAACCCGCTCATAGCTTTTTTGGCCTCTTTGGGGAGCAAGGTGTATAAACTGGTCCTGTGCTGGAGGGAAGTTCACGGGGTCGCTTCATGTGGAGACAGCCCATACTATTCCCCCTCTCGGTTGGTTGGTTCATGGCTTTGCCCTCCAAAACCCGTGCCCACCTGTGCCAGGAAGGCTCAGGAAGGCCTTGGCCTTCCGCCGAAAGGGGAAAGCAAAGCCGAAGAAAAAGCCTGGGTAGATGCCAAGGCCCAGGATGTGGCTAGGCTGCCAACGCCGAGAGATGCCCGCTTGGTAGGTACTGTACGTCGAGAGTGACGATGATGGGTGGCCTCGTCGTTGTTGCTTGAGACCTTTGACCTTTTTAATGGGCGCATTTCGAGGCTCATTATATAGATCCCACTTTGATGTGGCCCAGATGGCCGTTTCGATCTGTGGCCCTCTAGATTCTAGATGTCCCTTGATGAGCTGAAGGCAAGGACGCCAGCTCAGCTGGACACACTTTTGGTTTTATTCTTTTCAGGTTTTTCAGACCTTTGGGGCCTTTGGGGCCCAGAACGTTGTGACTCCGTGCGGGCGGGAATAGTGTATATATGTCTGTATATCCCTTTGCTTGGCAGGGCTGTGAAGGTGCCGCACTCAACGTCTGTGCGTGTGCGTGCTTGCATATGTATATATATATATATCTGTATGTATATATTGCATTTTTCTTTTTTAAATCTCTACATATATTCATACATGTGAATACTATGCTCAGGATATCAATGACACACTTTGAGCACAATACCAGTTGAAAGGTGACGGGAAAGGATCGTTGGCCATTGAGGGCATCATTTGGCGTTGCAAGGTCCAGAGGGTGCCCCGAGCAAAGAAGACCACGTCGAATGAGAAGAAGACACCAAGTGCTGAAAGGAAAGCACCTGTGAGCCTTGGCCTCCTTGGGGGCACATAGCACGTGGAGCGGGGAGTGAGAGAGGCAGAGAGAGACGGACAGGCAGAGGGAGAAGGGAGAGAGGGAGAAAGGCAGGGTGAGGTGAGGACACCATCCCTCCTCAGCTTGCCCTCAAGAATGATGGATTTGGGCGGAGGTAGTCATTTGCCTCAACTGTTTTGTTACAGTCATGTGGCACCTTGCACTGCTCATTGCTGTTCAGCACGCCGCGCAACTCCCGCAATATTTGCGAGGACTGTTGAGCGAAGGTCCGCCCCGGAGAAGAAGGCGCCCGAGAAGCCGCCCACCGAAAAGAGGGTGAAAGTGGCGGACAGTCACTTAGCTATACCACGCTTCGAGTCTGCTTTCTTCAATTTGTTGGAGTGGTTTTCGATATTTTGGTCATCCATTCGATTAGCCGCGAGTGGCGAGACGTTGGAGATGCTCGCGGGGGGTTATTAATCAAGAGTCTACAGTACTTTTGTTGGTGGTTGTTTTCTTGCAAGCCATGATGGTCGTTTTTCGTTTGTCTCCGGGCCGAGGGAAAGATGCGTGGAAAGCGACTCCTTCCGAGAAACCGGTGGAAAGCACCCTTTCAGCCTGGAAGAAGTCGCAGCAGCTGATGTTTGGCAAGACGCATGGTGAAAGAGTGCTGAACACCGCCTCCCTCTAGGAATGCTCGGTGTTGTTTCCAAATGTGGAGGCAAGGTGAGAAAAGGCCTGAATGTGTTGGAAACTGCGCAAGCCAGGAAACTCCCCAAGTTCAAATGCCCAAGCAGATGCCGCAACGCGGCTCAAGCCATGGCTCAAGCCATGGCCTGTTTTTGTCTGGCTGAGGACCAAAACAGATGAGGAAGATGCTTCCCAAAACTTTTGCCGGGAGATGTTCATCAGCCGTCGCCATGGCCGGCCGGAGGATCACTACCGAGTGCTGGGTGTTTTGGGCAGCTCGCCGAAGAGGTGCTCGTTGTTAGCAATCCTGAGATGTGGGCCTCGTCCCCTCCGACATGGAAGAGTGGTTTTCATTGGACATTGTAACAGATGGTTTCAACCTTCCGACCTGATCAGACTGGTGTTGTGTTTGCCCGGAGGGACTCGTGGGACGGAGGAATTCCGGTGACGTCGTGCACGCGATTCCCTCGCACCCAGGAAAGGGATCCTTTGGAGTGGTGCGGAAGGTGCAATGCCGACAGACCAAAGCCATGCGTGTCATGAAGATCGTGGACAAGCAGAGGCTTCGTCAGCAACTGCTGATGACTGGCTGCCATATACTTCGTAGATCTTCGTAGGAGTGTCCAACATGTTGCCCTGCAATACCTGAAACTGATGCGGGACTAAGGGCACGAATCTAAACCAACTATATACCTCCCTACCAGTACAAGAGTGGCAGATGTTGGGCCTGACAAAATTGTTTCATTTTGTTTGTTGCGGTGCTTGTTCGGGGCGTAGTCTAGCAACAGCAATCGGTGCGTTGGCGTGCAGGACTTAGAACTTAGGATGGCTAAGCATGGCAGCGGTGTGTGTTCGATCATTTCAATCACTTCAGGCCAAGAACCGGCGACTTCTAGCCATTCGGAAAGCCGGGAAGGGACGACCCTGTTCGTTTGGCAGTGATTGATCCTTTTTCCCTTGGATTGGTGGAAGAGTGGAAGAGAGACGCCAGTTCCCTACTCAGGCATGGGAACTCGTAATTGCAAGTGAACGAACTAGCCACCAGGGTAGTTGGTTGCCAACCCTGCCACCTGAGGAAAGCTTTGAGTGGCGGCTACCCATTAAAGCTGATCATGGAAGAGATTGACAAGCTGAAATCATTGGCGCCTTGCCATTGAGAGCAATTTGAAGCACAGGCCACAGGCTTTTGGTACCCCACCAATCTGATGGACATTGCGTTTTGGACCTTGGATACATGTCCGGTAGTATGTTTGGTTCCTCTTTCGGATTTGGCAGTCATGGTGCTTGCTTCCGGTATCAGCACATGGGTCCCGTTGGTGGGGCGATGCAGGCCAGAGACCAGACTCTCCATGCAAGCCTCCCAGGACCATCCAGCGGTTTTGAGATTGTTCGAGTACTATGCCGATTCGCGTTCCCTATATTTGATCACCGACCTTTTACCAGGCAGGTTGGGACTGTCAAGCGACCTGAGCGAACTGGCTCTGAGTACAGTGTTTTGAATTGACTCTAGGGTTCTCTACCAGACTTATTCAAGTGGTTGGAATTGCGACAACCCGACCAAATGCACACTCTGCGGCAGGTGGTGACCTGCTGGAGGCGGTGGAGAAGTCCTATGGGGAGAAGAAGCAGCTGCCAGAGGCCTGGGTGGCCGCAGTCTTCCGACAGGCTTGCGAAGGCGGGGCCAGGGGTCAGGGCTGCCATTTGGGAGGTCGCAGCCGTGGGGTGAATGGTGGCTCCAGGGGCAATGTTTTGGATTATGGACGATTGTGTTGCGGGGCGTTGCCAGTGTCGTGATGACTGGTGAGACTCTGACATTTTGTCAAAGACTCTCCCCACCTGCTCGACAAACAGCACATTGGGACATGTGCTGCGTGACCCTGCGCGTGGCGATTGTTAGCTGTGTTAAATTCATGTCAGATTAATATAGGTTAATCACCATTCACACTCCAAAGGTGTCGATGCCATCGAACTCCCTTGCGACAGTTTTGTTGGCAAAGCATAATTGGAACCTGAGGTGTTGCCTATTGCCATGCCAAAGGCGTGATGCATAAGGACTTGAAGTTGGAGAACATCATGTAACTTGGCTGGTGCATCAGACCAAGGCTTTCAACTTTCACCGCGTGCTTTCTGGCATACTGGTCCTTGCAGTGCATTCATTGATCCATTTATTTATATATATATATATGTCCCATCTAATTGGATTTGGACCTTATATATACATATAGAGATGATTCGGACCATAGGTTTCATTTGCATTCATCTATGTCCCTCAGGACCTTTGTCGTTCGCCCTCCCCAAAAACGAAGCGATCCACCGAGGCTTTGCTCGATCGATCCACCAGAGGCGGTGGTCATCGACGTGGGTTTGGCGGAGCTCTTCCCACCCTCGGAGGCGTTCGGCGGAGCACATCCGTCCCCACCAAAGGGGGAAAAGCTCGGAGACGAGAGCCCCCCAAAACGGTGGGCACTCGAGTGCGGAAGTGGCGAAGAGTTGCGAACTCGTGTCCCTACCAGGTTTTGTCAGGTTGCAAGTGGGTCCAGGGTCTAGAGGCAGGCTTCAAGAACTTGATCACCTCCACGAATTACGGGTCCAAGATGGTCCAAGCTTGCACGTGGACAGGAATCATGCACACCGAACTAGCATGTGAATCCATCGTGGGGTCCCCGACTTTTTCATACTTTTTCCATTGCTTTCCTTGCGGTCCGGGTTGTGTGGACGCCTTGCCACGGCGAAACGGAGGCCGAATCCTTCAAGTCGGCGGATGCGGCCGGCACGTTGGTCCGGGACCAAGGGCCGGCCCGGAACTAGTGCTGACCATGGATGGAAGACCATGGGAGTCTCCCCAAAGAAGATGCCGTGGTTTCCTTTTTCCCCTAGGCCCTAGGCATGGGGAACAATTATGGGAACTGACATACATTGAATATTGATGTTTTGTGAGACCAATCCGGCATGAGATGGTCTTCCGCATCGCCCTCGTAGTAGAGCAAGGGGGACGAGCAAGGGGTTCTAAACTTTCAAGATGATTATGTTTCATTATGTTCCACATTCTGTCACAGCAGATGAGGGGTATCTTCAAGCCAGTGTGTATGATGCTATACCAGCCACACCTAGCTTAAAAGAAACGTGCATTTCCGATTGCAGGTGCTATTAGTACCATGCGCAGGTCGCAAGTCATATTCCAATGCCTTGCATGTCAAATCTATCAATCCGTTCCGTGCTAGGCGACCATGGCTCCGGAGGTGATCCGGGGAAGCTTCAATGCCAGAGCCCCATATGGACTAGTGAAGAAGAGGGAGGTAAGCAAAGAGAGGGCTAAGTAGGCTGCGGCTGCAGATGCCTTTTTTCTGGCCCGGGGTTCGCCTTGCGCAAGGGCCTGTGCCCGCTGTTGAGGCCAAGTGCGACGTTTGGTCCTTGGGCTGTTGTTTGTACGCACTGCTCTGCACTCGGCCCCGGCGCTTGCGGGACTCCCCGGAGGAGACCTCCAAGCCCGAGGACGGTCGGGACCGGTCGGGGGAGTGCAACGAGAACGGGTGGGAGGTGGCACAAATGGATACAAATGGGGGTTTCAAAAGGGATGTCCGCCAAGTTGGGGCAGAAGCTGAGGATGCATATAATACGTCGAGCTGCTGAGTGGTGCTTTTTTGGGACAACGTAGGACGATGATGGAGCCTACTACAACTACTTCTACCCATTTCGCCCGCCGTTGGGAGAGTCGCGGCCTGAATTGAAGGCGGGGCCGCTGCTTGCTTAAATGGCTTGTGCTTGCTCACAGCCAAGCCATTTGCACCTGTTATATAGGTCCAATCAAAATTTCATGCCAGTTTGCGTGAGGAATGTCAAAGGTTTTTCGATGAGAGGAAACTAACATCACTTGTGAAAGGCCGGTATGGGAGATTGCACGTGACGTGCCCATTTGTTGGATGGGTGTTGATGTCCCGGCCCAATGGTCATGGACTTGAAGGAATTTGTGGCAGACATCGCTCACCTTTCAAACTATTCTCATTTTTCAGTTCATGCTAAGGGTGAGTGTCTTCACTCATAGTTGGACATTCGCTGAGTAGGGTCAGTGGTGTCCTGCCCACTCCTAGTTTCTTATTCATCAAGAAAGCTGATCCTTTCTGTATGGGCCTTCCTGCTGGGGTGTTCGGCAGAATCCCTATTAGTGTGGAGTAGTGAATGACCTCGACAAGAATAGGTGCGGTGCCTGCGAGTTTTTTTTTCTTGCACCTTCGAGCATTGTCACCACCTGGACTTGACTCAAGAGATGTTGTAGAGAAATACCACTTGATCTAGTAACAAGGACGCTACTAGGAACAAGTGCATCGCTTCTAGTAACAAGTGCCTTACTAGTAGTAGCAAGAAGCTACTAGGAGCTACGTTCGCCTCGTGTTGCGCTCTGCCACCCCAAAGCAAATTTCACCGCTTCACCCCTTCTTTCCACCACCATCATGCCACCATCCGGGGCCCACGCCATGCTAGGCCTACTTGGAGCGCCAGAAGCGCGGCCCTGACCTGGCAAGGCTGCGCTGCTCGGCCGTGGCGGATGACTTGGTGAAGGACCGGGGCCCGGTGGCGTGGTGGAATGGAACTGCTCAAGAGGCTCACTGGGATGTCTCGTGCGAGCTTGCTGGGATGTCTCATGAGCTCCTGAGGGGACGTCCCATGGGTGTGCGGCTCCCCCAGGAGATGTTGACCTATGATGAGCCTTCCAGGTGACGTGGCACTGATGTTCGGTCGCTGGTGGGTCGTGGTAAATGTGTCCATGTCTCTTTTCCATTGAGTGCGAGTGTCTCAAACGAGATGAGTGGGGCCCGTGGCCCAAGTCAGGTTATTTATATATTATATACACAAAACAGTACTGGAACACACCTAATTATACAATTACTGTTTGATACTCTTTGCATGTTACTTTAACTTGCTGTATTTCTTTTACTTATGTGATCTTTGGGGATTCCTCCAAGGTCGGAGACGTCCCGGAAGCGTTCGCGGAGGGACCACGTCAACCGACGTGCAGTGTCGCGCCAGGTGTACCTCGCAACCAATGCCCAAAAACATCTGCAACTCTTGGGGGCGAAGAAGCACAACGGTTGGTCCAGACTTGGAAAGTCTTGCGCCCCACCCTGTCCTCGAGCGACCTGTTGCAGGTCACAGTTGCAACAGATCTTAACCCATCAATGGCTCCAATGCAGGGACCGGGCGCCTTGGAGCGACATGGCGCGGAAGCGTGTGACACTCATGGTCAAAGAACGGCGTCGTCCATCCTCCTAAGTCTACAGTAATCAGTAATCAGAGTCTTCTCTACCGATGGTTTTGGGCCTTTATGAAATGGAATGCCGGCAACACGGTCCTTGCTCCATGTGCACGGTCCCTGGGTCCCTGCAGAAACTTTTTTTTTGTCTCCATGATATGGAGGACGAGTGCATTGAAGTGACGGCACGGCCTGGCTTTCCTGAGGAACAAGTTCTGGGAGCTGGACAAGTGGATAGTTTACTTCAGTTTCACCGGACCAATGCCCTGGCTCAGGCTCGACTTGGGGGGAGTTTTTGGAGTGTTCTTGTTTGACATGACGCGACTGTGACGTCTTCAGAGCTCTTCTCGGATGGTTTCCCCCATGAACAAGCCAGACATCGGACTTTCCAAGGGCATGTACTACGGCGTTACTACGGCATGTACGCAGTGGGTCACACATGGAGGTCCACATGTCTGGAAAGCCATTCGTTTGTGAAACCTTTTCCAAAGGACTTGCAGGATGGATGGACAACTCCCCCCGTTCCCGGGTGGAGCACAACGTGTTTTTCCTGTTTGCCGAAGATTGGGAGAAAACATACATGATTCACTGAAGGCGTCTGGGCCATATCCCCGTGGAAACGAAGGCTTTCAAGGCTCATAAGGTTGACCGAGCAGACCAGTGGGGGAGTGGGGTTGATGGATCCAAACGATTTGACGATTTCTGATGATTTGGGACCATCATCCATCCACTCCCTCTACCCTTCTCCAGGCTGTGCTTTTAGACATGGCCTCCCAGCTTCCTCTTGCTCAGTTGCGTGCCCTGGACAGCAGTCTCGATCGAAGTATCCATTTGGGGGGGAATGTGATGGAATGTGTAGCTCGGCGCGAGAATGTGTCTGAAAACCAGAAGAACCTCTCCGAACACGAGGTTTTCCTTAGCATGCTGCAAGCCAGCAATGCACCATTCAGTTCGCTTCCACCAGTACTTTTCCACGGGGTCCGAACAGTTTGTTGGTTGTGTCCACTAGAATCACTAGAACTTGGGATCTCTGTCGATCTCAGTGATCAATGCAGAGAGAGAGCCTAAGGTTCTTTGGAACCTTAGTATTGCCAGGGCTCTGGATATGAAATCAGGATATGAAATCGTTCTTCTGAGTGATGGCCTCCACCCTAAAAGCGATGGCCTCCAACCTAAGAGCCATGGCCCCAAGACGTGGAGGAACAGCTGGGTTTTGGCTCAGGTGAGCTCACTCAGCTGTTTGAATCCATGGACAAAGATGGAAATGGCATCCTGGACCAGAGCGAGCTCACAGACGCTTGGGCTCGACGGTGGTGGGGGTTGGTTGAGATCCTATCACTTCGCACGGTCAGGCGAAAATACACCATGTGGCGACATGGTGTCCCCCAATCAGCAGGAAATCAAGGAAGACGCAGTATCAGATCCATCAACACAGGGCATCTGAAAGACCCCGCAAGACGGACCCATCTAATCCCAGCTCCACGTCTTTGGGGTTCTCAGTGGTCGAGACCTGGCAAGCAAGTTGGGCGATTTGGAAGATTTATGGTGGCCTTGCAGACCTTAGGTTATTCCAGCATCTCATTACAGCAACATCTGAAAGGACAAATTCATTTGGAACAATCATGGATGTGGACGCCCCCGCTGTGTAGAGTCTACACCTCTTGGAAAGGTTAGATAGAGGGGGCCGACCATTGGAAATAAAGTCTGCTAAATTATGTATTGTCAACCTCCCTCGCCTCCACCATTCAATGGAATCCTGAGGTAGACCGTTGAACTGGGTGGCGAGGAACCGTTTTTTGCCGAAGCGAACGTGAATTCAGTGTGAATGCCAATCACTTTAATGGGGATGAGTTTGTCCAACCATGGGAGACGGAGATTTGCAGGTGTTGAGCATTTGATTGTATGGTTTTTCGAAGGGCAGGAGCTCTTCCACTTCTGATTCTTAACTTGCATAGACTTGCATTCCAAGAGATGGTTCCGTACAGGAAGCCTTGATCAAAGCGGGCTTGCAGCCAGAACAAGCACGCTGCTCGGCTGAATGTGTGCGGAGTGGCTGGTGCAGGTGGAGTGCGGCAGGGTAGCGAGGAAACCAGAGTCATTACTTGTGGAAGCACGATGGAATTTGAAGTTGGGTGGGCCCGCCCACAGCACAGGGACGACCAGTGATTCCCGCGGAGTGATTAGAAGATCGTCGAGGCATCCTGAGGTTCGAATCGCTTGTTCTTGCATGCGCGAGCTTCCATGATGAGAACTCGACCGTCGTACACTCAGTCCACTCATGTTCGTTCAGCAGAGGGCCACCACAACGGCTGTAAATGGGTTTGCCTCCGCACGAGCAGACCTGACAAGAACAAAGATTTAAAAAGTCCAAAGACTCCCTAGATCCGGAACCCACCCGAAAGTGGAAGATCATGGAAGATACAGTTTCGGCACCTCAAAATTGCATATGTATGCATATGGCATCACATGGCATATATTTCAATTTGTCTCGTTTTTATGGCACGCCGGCATGTCCGCGTCCACTCGCGTGTCGCCCAAAACCGAGGCAAAGCGGCGGTTCGGCTGCTGCGGGGCGGCGGCGGCGCGGTGGAGTTCTCGCGCTTCGTGGCCGCGCTGGTGCCCTCCTGCCGCTGGGCTGGAGGGACGGACCGACGGTGCCACAGGTGTCGTGGTGAAACGCACCGTTCACAGGCGAAGCGGAGGGAGTTCGGGTGACTTGCCGAACCGGAGGGACCGAGACAAAGCAGTGACGAACCACCGTAATGATATAGAGAGCGGCCACACTCAACTTGAGTGCGTGAGTGAGGGTAGAATAACAATTCCTATGTATGGGGGAGTCTGCTCCACAAGCTTGGAAGAAGATTCTATATAATATCTATCGATAATATATTCAGCAAACACTTTTTATATAGCTAGCTATTATGTGAGAACCTTTGGTTGCACCTTTGCGATCGATCTTGGTGGTACTGATGACCCCCCATTTTGGAGTACAATTCTTTCCGTGGTACGATCGAGGCCACTAAGAAAGTCGTTTGCTAAAAAAGCAATATCCCAAAGCAGGTTAATGGCCAGGAATGTAGTAGCAGTAAAATGTGTATCGGAAGAAACCTTACCTCAGAATTTCGTCTCATCATGGACGAAGATGACGATTTCTGGACAGTTTTTGGGACAGATGTGGGGTGCTCCCACCAAGGCCAATACAATCCAATACAATAGCAGCAAAAAGCAGCTACTTTTTCATCTTTTTTCAAGTGGTCTTGGGGAACCTCTGGAAAAATAGGCCCAGTACCAAGGCCGGGACCTCTTGTCGGCAAAGCTGCTTCGTAGTAGCTTCGACCGGCTGGATGAGAACGGAGCTGCCCAGCGGCAACTGGCCGACTTGGTCCGTGCATTATTGATGTTCTGAAGTAAAGTTCTTCCACGAGCGACTGGTCACAGGGCAGCGCCGCATTGACGTATTAACCTGCTGGATCACCGAAGAACACCATATGACCATATTCACATGGAGGCTTTGGACCAAGAGGCTATTCCATTCTGGTTCATCTTCAGAGGGTGTAGTCGTTGAAGTTCCAATTGCCACCTGCAGCGCTTATCAGAGAAGATAGAGGCGACATCACAGCGGCGGGGGGTGCATAGTTGGACATCAGGCTCCCCGCAAAACCCTGGACAGAGTTTCAGGGTGCAAGGACCTGCAAGGACCTCCAAGCCACATCAAGTCACCAGTAGCTGGTCATAAAAAGACACAAATAAAATTAACATGAGCACACGCACACAGACTTGAAAGGAAGCTCGCAAGAGCAAAGTGCAGTAAAAGTCCGAGGTGCATTGGCCCTTTACTGCGCTAGCTAACGCTTTGCCGCAAAATGGCGAAGTAGACAGCGTTGGCCATTCTTAGGTTCAATGAGGATGACAGGATGGAAGGCCTCCTGTTATAGTAGTGAGCGGGACAAGAATCGCTCAATAGCGGTAATGGAAGAGGACCGACAGACAAGGTCTGTCGCAAACTGGAAGCGAGACACATGAACCGCCCTATAGAGTTTTATAGTGTAGGTAGGCAGGTGCGTGATTGAAGCCTCCTTCACTCCTTCAAGCATTTTGTTTTATATCTGAAATGCATGCCAATCCTATTGGCTGACGCACACAGAACGCCGAAACGGCGCTGTGCACCCTTTGCAACAGAACCTTGGTTACGACCTAAAAACCTTTAGAAGAGAAAACGCCGAGAAAGAGAAACATGAAAAAAGGATAAAAAAGGCAAGAAAGATAATGAGGATCACGGAGCTCCATCCCGAACTTCTGCCGAGTGAGAAATATCCACACAAATAGCCGAACAGCACTGGCAAAGCAGGGTGGTTGGTATGACTGCCAGGTGCACGGTGAGAGGGCAGGCACACCACACGCAGTAATCCAACGGGGTGTATACCCTGGCGTGAAGCAAAGGGACGTGGCTGCTGGCATTGTCGATTGTCGTGTGGTTGATCTGAGGAAATGCAAGTCTGCCGACCTGAGTTACAACCTGGCAAGCCTGTAATAGAAACAAAAGCATGAGTCTGAGTTGGTGCATGAGGGATGAAGTATGGCCGAAGGTCCGAGTGTGACCCAGTAGCTTTGCAGCATAGTCGGTTGTTCCCAATAGAAAGCATGAAACATGTCCGAGCAAAGCTTGAGGCTGGCAGAGTATCGGCAAGCCATCGCTCGTGTAAGGGACAAAAGTTGGGATCCAGTGGGGCAATTCTGCAATTGGACGGAAGCTCGCAAGAGCAAAGTGCACATTGGCCCTTTACTGTGAGCGATGGCACCTTTTTGCATTGGAGTAGACGGCGTGGGCCATTCTTAGGTTCAATGAGGACGAAATGATTAATTTCCTCCTGCTATAGTGAGCGAGACGAAAGAATCGCTGTCATAGCGCTCCCAATTGTCACTGGCCGAGTATTCAATCTGAGTGTTTCGTACGAGGCCTCCTCTAAAAAGTCACACGTCAAAGTCTCCAAAGCGAGTGTTTCACACGAGACTTCCTACAAGAGGCGGGAATTCTATTCAGAGCAAGCACATCAAGCAGCCCCGCCCTCCAATGGTTGCTGAAGTTTTGCCAAGGACGGCTTCGTCAGCCGGGCGGAACTTCAACGACTGCTGGAACGAGCAGGGTCAAAGCTGGCACAAGCACAGTGACCGTGGCGGATGTTTCAGATTTTTTGGACTCCGAAACGTGTTCAAACTGAAACCAAACTGCAAACTCAAGTCAAAACCTCATGGTTTATGACATTTGGCCCTCGGAGTAGTTTGTGATGCACACTGACAAGTTGGGTTGGACGGCCTGGGTTCCCACAAGGCCCATGTAGACCCCATGACTTATTCAACGGCACCGGTGATGGCAACCTGTTCAGAGGATTGAGGATCCTTGTTTGGGTGGGGCCACCATCATAGGCCTATAGCCTATAGGCCTGAAAGGACATTTCACTTTCAGATAGCCTCAACATCTGACAGCTTCGAATACCATCCCGAAAGACATAGCGGATAGCCCTAACACAAGACAAGGCGATAATAAGGGGAACTGCGGCAGAGAATGGTCCGAAGGTTCAAGGATCTCGCACCTGGTGACTTCGTCCAAGACGAACCATCGATCTGCACAATATCAGTTTGTTACATGTGTGGGACTTGGGGCTGCATCCCTCATCCTGGTCGGAGGCAACAGTTGGCCGAGAGAGACAAACGGCCAGGCCAAGGCTGGCTTTCGTTGACCGTTTCGTCGCCCGTTTCGTTGGCCAGCTGTTGTTTTTTCAGATGCATCAGGCGCGCAGACACGCAAGCGATGAAATTGGCTTGCCTCATTGGAACCACAGGTGAGCAGTTAGACTTGCCGGACATTACCGCATGCCCCCTCCTGACTCGAAGACCGTCCGAAGTCCTCGATGGAGCACTTGGCAACTCACGGGCCCCGTCTGTCTGATCTGCTCCGAGCGTGGTGCCGAGCTCCCCCCCTCACAAACACACATTGTCCATCCCTTGACCAACAGGAGCGAGGTCTATACTGCATGCAATGGGTCTTACACCCCCCGAGAAGTCGTTTGCCAGCTTGCGTGTTTTGGTCATTGCCCAATTGGTTGAGGGGTGTCGCGCATTTTTTTCCGCCAGCTGAGGCGATGTCGTTCGTCGCTCAAAATCGGTCAATTCGCCAATCTTTCTTTCCGCCTCCTCGCACCGCGCTCCGCTCGAGGCGATGAGGTTCTTGACACCTCCGACGAGGAGTCTGGCCCGACCGCCAGCGGTGGCTGGGCACAGCAAGACCAGGACGTGAAGCGAGTGGCACTGTGGGGAGGAGATTGGAGGATTTTGATGGTTTATTTCTTTGAAGTTCATCGTATCCTGAATCCTCTTGAATGTTCTCGCCCGCACCAGGTGCTCAGTTCATCCTTTCTTTGAACTTGGGTTTGAAGATCTTGCCGATCTTAGAGGGTCCTGGTACAGGAATTTTGAGATCTGTGCTTTGACTTCTCTAGCTAGCTGGAATGCTGTAAAAGCCTCTGGGCCGCTCAGGCTCCAAGCGCCTGAGAGCAGCACATGCGGCAAGGAAAGCCTTTGACAACATGGGCCCCCCAGCTGCAGATGAGACTGGATTGACACAGGAGACACTTAGCTGACTTGGACATTTTGGTCGTCAAGGTGCTGCAGATATGGTACATGGGATGTACATGGTACTTTCTGGTCTACTTCAGAAGGGGAGGTGATGCGGCACTCTGTGAAAGTGGGAAGCTGCAGTGGAAGGCGACACCCAAGCCAAATCCAGACTCCCTAGAAAGAAAACCGTCCTCCAAACCCACAGGAGGCAAACGGGTAGTTTGGGGGACGGTAGGCCAATTCCGGCCCAAAATGATTAAACATCCACCACTCCGTGAGGTGGAGAGGGCCGCGTCCGGGTGTCCTTCGAGTCCTTGCACCGGCTCCTGGGTGGAAACTTCTCTTGAAAAGGCCAGGCATCGGAGTTGACGTTGGACGATTTTGGACCGATTTCGGATGGTTCAAACATGTTCAAACTAAATCAAACTAATGAAATGTGAAGATTTCAAGAAAAATGATGGCTTCTATCTGTCTATCTGTCTGTCTGTCTGCCTGTCTGTCTGTCTACCCATCCATCCATCCATCCATCCATCCATCGATCTATGGATCTACCTATCCTATCCTATCTATCGAAGTAGAAGTATAAATAAATAAATAAAAAAAAATATATATATAGAGGGAGTGTTGATCAAGAACTTGGGGACGGACGGCACCGTGAGCCTGAGCTAGCAGTAGGGACCCCTTTCACCCTAGTGGCACGGACGGTGAAGGAGTTCTTAAACGGTCTCCGCACCGTGCACAGGCAGACGATGGAATTCATCGCTTTTTGGACCGGCGATTTGGAGGGCCGGTCCGCCGACAGTGGAAAGGCACCCATCAAGGATGGCGCATCCTGTCAGTTCATGTAAGTTCAAAGGTCATGAAACTTCTTGTATGTCTTTTTGCTTCGCGTGTTTGCCTCAATTCGTGGATTGGTCTTCGGACCTCTTGACGATGAGCTCGTTTACAATGCTTGCGAGCTAAGCTAGGCACAAGTCCTAGTTTCGGTGCTCAGCATTTGCATCGGCACATGGGCCCTAGAATGCGCGGGCCTAGGCAAGTCAACTCTAGGTAAAAAGAAGGATATTGCCCAACATGTTCAGCCCCACCATATACCAAGCCCACACCAGTCAGTATATACATGTATGTACCCATAGGAAAGCATCCCTCCGACCCATGGCGTTGGCGACAAAATCCATGCAATGGTGTCTTCTTCCGCCTGGCAAAGCCATGCATCGAGAGAAATACAGATGCAAAACGATCCACTTGTTGCGGCTGGACCTTCCCCAGCGTCTTTACCGGACCTTTCATGAAACAAAAGCCTCCGACATTGGGCGCGCTCACCTTCCTGTCTCCTGGTCCACATGCCCAGTTGCCGGTGCAGGATTTTCCAGGCCCCAGTCACGCTTGATGGCCCAGCATGATGCTTTAGTACTTTGTAGAGGATTGTAGAGGCATTGTGCAGTTGTCGCAGGTTGTTGAACTGGCAGTACTTTGGCAGTCAGTCAGTCAGTCTTTTCTTCGAAGGGTTGCCTAGAGTTGGGCAACCAAGTAGCTGCGGGCTTTCCTTTTAATGGGGAATGGCTCATCTGTAGCCAAGATTGGTATCACCATGCCAGAGGCCTCATCAATCGATCCGCACTTGAGCCAAGTAGCATTCCGGCGGCTCATTCTTGGATATCTCCACAAATCCCCATCAGTTCCCAGACCACTTGGATGGAATAGATACAAGAGCCAATAAGAGCAAGAAGCCAAGGGCTGATGTCCAAGGAATTTCGGTGGTTCTGTTCAGGTTATATACAGTAGATGCTAGGACCATCAAGGTTGCTCTTGGAACTTGTAGATGGTCCAGCCATGTCCAGCCTGAAAACAGAGTAGCAACAACCATTGTCCGTTTGGTTGGGTTTATGGAGATGCCGTCAGTGCCATCTATGTCCCTTGAGTGCTTTTGCCAGGCCCATGCAATGAGTAGGTCGCGCACTGCATACAGCAATAGGCAATAGATTCAACAAGTGGCCAGGCAAATAAATCTATTACCCTGTTGCTAGCGAGACTCATCCCAGCGCTTGGGGGTTTAAATTAAACATCAACTACTTTTAGCAGTTGTGGTAGTGGTCGACCCTTCAAATGAGGAGGTGTGTCGTGGGTAGCCGCTGTGGTTGCGAGTGGAGATATTCGAGATTCAGATATATAGTCCTTTTCCGCTTTGTTTCGAAAGGGAAAGGGGTTAATAGGCCTTGGGAGCATGCAGGTCTGTCTTAGACACACCGAGAGCGAAATGCCTCAGTTCAAGTCGTAGGTGCCAGGACGCGCTTCAAGAAGATGCTCTGGCAAAAACGTCGAAGCGCCTCAGAGATTTTATTTCTCATGCACATCGTTATGACTAAGAAGAACCCTTGCAGGTTCTAATCGTATTATGATCCTTTCTTTGCCCTGACAATTGTGCTGGTGAGGCTTCCTGTCCTACAGAGCCACAGAGACCCCCAAGAGGCTCCCCAAATGCTTGGACACTTTTTGTGCCCAACGAAGCTGTGTCGTTTGGTCAGCATGACCCTAGATAGTGGTGCAGTCGACCGTCGACGAGGATGGTTGTCAACTAGCATGAGTAGGAATATGTTCTCCGTAATTCGTATTGATATGACATGGTCGCTTTCGCAGGAGCCCATCCACATCCAAGTCGGCGACCCTACAATGCTGCAGGCGTTTGGAGAGGTTTTGGTTTCGGACCAGAAGCCGGGCCCGGGTGCGCATGGATTTTGAGGCCCTTTCAGTGGAAATCGTTGCTTGGTTCACGCGAAACTCGGGTGTATGAGTCATGTGCTCATGTACTCGCCGCTACTCGGTGGCCCCTCAAGAGATTGACTAGGATGTACTAGCCTTTTTCTTTTTCGGTCTTCTCGCTTTCGGTTGCGCTTCTATTCGGGCATCGGATCACCAGTTGCGGAGTCAGAACACGTCAACGAGTCAACAACACACCAACTCCAACTCTTCTCCCATAGCCCCCCACGAATGCGTTGAGTGTGTGCTTTGATAGCCAAGCTGCCAGGCCAATGAAGATATCAGCCAGCAGGTCATTGTGGTGGATCCAGAGCACAAGGATTGTACCCTGTTGCAGGTTGGCGAGAGTTGGCCGGGGAGCTGGAGAGAGGTCAGCCGGCTGGTGGAGTAGTAGGTGGGAAAGTGAAACATATTTAAGCCATGAACTGCAAAGTTTCATATTGAGAACCGCAAAGATGTATAGAATTGACAATTGGGGGACCATCGAAACAAGCAACGAGTGGAACTGGCCACGAGAATCCGGTGCTTCGTCAGTTGCTTGGTTTAGGACAAGCCATTGTCACATGGCAGAGCCGCAGATTGCCATTGCAGGTCCTGCGTGGAAACCCCCCTCCTGCGCGGATTTTGGTATTTGTGGCCATGCGGAAGCAGTGCGACTTGGTGGTCCGTGCTCTTCGGCGGAATGGCGCAACTGGTCCAAGAGCGCCTTTGGGTGGGGCGGGGGCGGCGAGTGGCCTCGATGGCACCGTTCGTCTTACCGGGCTGGATTGCACAGCTCTCGAAGCGATTGACATCTGAAAAGGACCATGCGAGGAGCGGATTTCTCTCATAGCTGTAGCAGTAGCCCATCACTTTTCGATCATAGGCTTCCCTACCAAGAATCGGATGCACAACTTTTGCCATCGCAGTCCCTTCATTTTCTCCCAATCCTTAGTCCCTAGGCCAAGTGTTTGCAGCTGTGCATCGTTTCCGATGCTGTTTGCAACACAGACCTCGCTTGAAGGCGAGGCTCATTTGGCCCTTTGAAGGTGCTCTGAACAAGGGGGCTTTCTGCCAGGATCTTCCAGAACTACCCATGACCACCTGGAGAGCATTGAGCCATGGGGCCATCACTGTATCTCCGGAACAATGCCCCCAGAGAGAGAGAGAGAGAGAGAGCGCGCGCACCGACAGGTACTGCCGATTTGACTGACTCCCTCTTCCAATAACAATCATAGTCAGTCTGCTCGGGAATGACGTGGCCTGGCATGCCGGCCTGAGGTAAAGGCTAACTCTATGCATAGCGACAAGGACCAACAGGAGCAGCAAAGGGAGAGAGAGAGAGAGAGATGGGTCTTCATTTGGAGTTTCATGTACAAAGTGTTTCTCACCGGAACATGTTCATGATATCCAAATCATATTCCACCTTTGACCATGTAGGGGATCAACGTATATAGTATTACATGGTTGACTCAAAAGTTGCACGTGTTCCCAGATTCAACATACAGTCCAACTGCAATATTCACATGCAGTATCATACAGTCTTCCTTCATGCTCCATTCGTTTTCGACTTCCGGCAAAAAGTGCGAGGAGCGGGAGGAGGCATTGCAAGACTTCCGCACAGGGCAGGTGTGTGTGCTGGTGGCGACGGATGTGGCGGCACGTGGGTGCCTTGGCATGCTGTCTTTGTGCCAGGCGTGGTCACGCAGGCCAAAGGGACCACTTCTTTAAAGGAAAAATCACTCTCAGCATCTGACACAAGGTTTTGGCTATGTGGGCGGTTTCAATGTCATTTCCCATTTGATCTCCCCATTAGACTTCAAATTGGTGTTTGTGAGGGGCTGCTGAGAATACTGGTAAGTTGCGACCTGTGGGAATTTCTTGTTTGGAGACTGTTTGTGCCTTCACTCACCTCCTACAAGCTCCGTTTTACATTTGGTGAGGCTACTGCACGATCCAGCCAATTTCTTGTGCACCTCGGCACGTGCCGTGCAATGGCTCGCTGCCTTACAACTGCAGCGAATTCCCCCCATGGGTCGCGACGTCCCGTATTGAGAGGTTGTAAGGCGGCGGCTGGGGTGGCGAGTGGGCATCTTTCCTCCGGGGGTGCGGACGTAGGAGTTACGTCAAGTGACCAGGCTGGACATCAAAGGCATCAACTTGGTGGTGCCCCATGGCAGATATGGGAACTCTGCGATTGGAGTTGGTGTGTTGGTTGTGGACCTCCTGGAAGATGGTCAATAATAACAATAATAATAATAACAATAATAATAATTATATATATATATAACTATATAGTAATACTATGTATTAATATGATACATGTTTGATTTGAATATGCGGGTTTCTGAATTGTCACTTGTTCAGGCCCCCTTCAGAAGAGATTAAATACCTCTTGTCTTCCTTGTTGATGGACCATTTCATCCGCAGTTGGGGTCTTTCAACAATATCCGGGTGTCTAGAGTCTAAAGTCTCAATCAGAGTGGATGGAGGACCCCCTTCAAGCGTTTTTTTCTTTATGCGGGCTATGCAGTGCAAATCAGCCATTCGTAAACATTGGGACACTTCTTGGGGTTCGCTGCGCCATGTGAATTTGCCACGAAGCAGTTGCGGCCACCTAAGCAGATCCAACAAGAAATGTGACCCGTCAACCTCCCATGGGTGACCATCATGTCACCCAGGGCCTCCAACCGCCATCCAATGTCACCCGTGAGGTCACTTCCCCAGTGGATCCCAGCGGGGAACCTGGGTTTCGAGGTCTGCAGTCTGTGCAACCCCTGGTTGCTGTTGTGACATCTTTGTGACTTAATCCACAGGGTCACCGCAGCGCACCAGTTCTCATCAATTCCTGTGGGAGGTTTTTGGGAACAATGGAAGAATTGAACATTTCGCCGCGCATCTCAGAGCTCCTTGTGCTGAATCGTACTCCAGACACAACGGACAGCCCAGCAGAAGACTTCGGCTGCGAGGGGAACTTGTGCAAAGAAAATTGGGGTGCTCTTCTCCAAACGTTGCGGGATAAAAGAACCCTTGGAAACAACGCCCTTCATGTTCAGTGTGCCACTCCCTCCTAGACAATGGTCATTGGTAAGAGTCAGAGAGTCACTCACCTCCAACTTTTGCTGGCAGTCATCCTCCTGGGCCGGATTGGTCGGCCGATTGCACCGGATGGAGCAGCCCATCAAGTCCGCGCTGTCCCACAAGAGGGCCGCTGGCTCAGGGGGAGCCAGACTGGAGATGCCAAGTGTCGGTTCTTTTCTGCGCCAATGGGAAGCTGCTGGAGGTAGATTGCGAAGTTGTG